CCTTCCCCAGCCTTGGACACACTGTAGTCCTCTCCCTTGGCAAGCCTCACTCATTCCTCAGGTCTTGATCCGGATAACATTCATCCTGGGACACCTTCTCTGGGCCTGTGAAACGGTGAGGCCTCCTTAACAGACCATCAATCCCCTGTTACCAGCACTGGCCCCTGTGACAGGTTGAACTGTGGCCTCAGAGATGTTCATGCCCTACTCCCCTAATCCCATGAAAATGCTACTTCACATGGAAAATAGAACCTAGCTCACAGATGTGGTTAAATTGAGGGGATGTAATCACAAGAGCTCTTACGAGAGAGAAGCAGGAGGATGAAAGAAGATACTACTGCCTTTGAGGATGGAGGAAGATACCAGGAGCCAAGGGACGCAGGCAACCTCTAGGAGCTGGAAGATGCAAGGAATTAGATTCTGCCCTAGAGTCTCCAGAAGGAACAAAGCCCTGTGGGTTCCTTTTAGAGTCTGGTCTCCAGAAGTATAAGTGGATGGATTTGAAGTCACTACATTTGGTAATTTGTTAGAGCATCAATAAGAAACAACTTCACCCTCTCACAGCCCTGGCTGCACTGTATCATAGGTGTTTGTGTCACTGTTGACTGTAAGCGCCAAGAACAGGCTCTGTGTCTATGTTCTATATCCAGGGACCAGTGCAATGTCCGATAAATATTGCTGGACTAAATTAAAGAATGAAAGCAAAGTGAACCTGTCCACTTACTTCATACATGAAAGCATTCCTTGGCCAGCTTACAAGAAAATCAGATTACCAGCCTGAATTAAGACTGAAGGGAAGTCACTGAAAATCTAGATATCTGGCAGTTCTACCTAGTAACAGTAGAACAGATGGGCTTTATTTTTTCTAATGATAAAGAGCATGGGTGTGTGTGTATGTGTGTGTGTGTATATATATACATGTATATATATATATACATACACACATATATATGTATATATATTATATACATACACTATTTATACACACATACACTTATCTATACACACATTTCTTACATATATATATATATGCATACATATATATACATACTTTCATATACACACACTACAGATACACACATACAATTAAACACATTTACTCATGATATATATATATGTGTGTATATATATACATATATATATACACACATATGCACATGTGAGATAGAGAAGCACTCTTGAGAAGGTCTTGTCACACTGTCACACTGCAATCCCTTTTCCATAGCTCTTCAGGATCCTGAGTGTCTATGCATGACCTGATGTTTTCTCAGGCCAATCTGGGGCTCCGAGCAGCAGTCAGCTATATGGCTTCCAGCCTTGCAGAGGCTTACACTTCTGTTGTACTATAGCAGCTGGGCCCAGAAGAAATTCTTTAAAAGGATCTCTTTCTGCTTTTCTAGCTTACATGACACAGTAACAATACTGGGAATCAAACAATTCTCCAGAATGGTCTAAAGGGAACCAAGCCCTAAAGCTTAGTTGCAAGGACTAGTTGTTCTAAAATGTAGACCCCGGCAACTTGCCTACCCTCTGGAGCCCTTGGTGGCTTCAGCCTTCCTGTGGATTCTCTTAGGGTCAGACCAGCCCAAGCTCCTCACCTGCATGGGCAAGCACTCTTCAGTGTCATTCTGGGAGAAACAGGCACTTTGTTGGAAGTCTGCACTCATTTGCTCACCCTTCCTCTTACCTTCTTGTCTCCCTGGCATTGCTGGTCAGACCCACCCATCATGCTGAGCAGATTTATAAACGAAGGAGAGAAAGATAGGAGGGAACTGGGCTCACCAGGGTGTAGGAAGCTCTTTCAGGTGGTTCTGTGTGTGCTCAAAGGGGTGGGCCACAGGAACTTTCCGAGCAGACAAAGAAGCATCCGGAGAAATGACCACTATGGGCATCACCAGAGGACACACCCACTGAAAGATGACATGTTAACGAGTAGGGGATTCCCACCTTCCGAACCAGTGGAGCCTCAGCCCCATGCCCTGCTAGGACCAGCCTGGCTCACGAAGGACCAGGAGTCATGCCACCAAAGTCACTCTGCCCTTGTCCAAGGCAGCAGTGCTGCTGAGTCTGGATGATTGAGCTGAACTGGAGCAAAACTGGAGATGGCATAGGGATGGGGAGCTGAATTAGACAGAATGGCGAGGGAGAGAGGACGGCAAAATTAGGACTCTTGCCTGAGACAGAGTAAGGAGGGACCAAGACCCAGCTTTGCAAACGTGAGCTCAGGCAGTATGTGAACGACCATTAACCGCAGCTTACATGACACAGTAACAATACTGGGAATCAAACAATTCTCCAGAATGGTCTAAAGGGAACCAAGCCCTAAAGCTTAGTGCAAGGACTAGTTCTTCTAAAATGTAGACCCCAGCAACTTGCCTACCCTCTGGAGCCCTTGGTGGCTTCAGCCTTCCTGTGGATTCTCTTAGGGTCAGACCAGCCCAAGCTCCTCACCTGCATGGGCAAGCACTCTTCAGTGTCATTCTGGGAGAAACAGGCACTTTGTTGGAAGTCTGCACTCATTTGCTCACCCTTCCTCTTACCTTCTTGTCTCCCTGGCATTGCTGGTCAGACCCACCCATCATGCTGAGCAGATTTATAAACGAAGGAGAGAAAGATAGGAGGGAACTGGGCTCACCAGGGTGTAGGAAGCTCTTTCAGGTGGTTCTGTGTGTGCTCAAAGGGGTGGGCCACAGGAACTTTCCGAGCAGACAAAGAAGCATCCGGAGAAATGACCACTATGGGCATCACCAGAGGACACACCCACTGAAAGATGACATGTTAACGAGTAGGGGATTCCCACCTTCCGAACCAGTGGAGCCTCAGCCCCATGCCCTGCTAGGACCAGCCTGGCTCACGAAGGACCAGGAGTCATGCCACCAAAGTCACTCTGCCCTTGTCCAAGGCAGCAGTGCTGCTGAGTCTGGATGATTGAGCTGAACTGGAGCAAAACTGGAGATGGCATAGGGATGGGGAGCTGAATTAGACAGAATGGCGAGGGAGAGAGGACGGCAAAATTAGGACTCTTGCCTGAGACAGAGTAAGGAGGGACCAAGACCCAGCTTTGCAAACGTGAGCTCAGGCAGTATGTGAACGACCATTAACCGCCACTAAGTCAAAAATCATCTATCTATCCAGGGTCCACCTAGGTGGCCCTACGGAAGAATTTAAAAGAGAAAATAAAACCTGGTTTCTGAACCGAAAGGCCTTAGGCTGTGTTTCTGTTTTGTTTTGAGCAGTTATTGGTGAGTTTCCTGTGGGCAGCAGGAACTCGTAGGCTATAAAGGAGGGAGTTCAAGGAAGTCACACCAGAGAAAACAAAGGATAAATGCAAGAAGACAACGAGGGCAGCCTTGAACCCAGCTACAGTGAAAAGGAAAAGTGAAAGTCATTGGGGTCTCAAGCTGCATTTTCCCTGACCTTCTGAACCCAAAGCTGTCCCTTTGCTGCTACTTCTGAGCTAACAAAAGGGCACGAAAACGGTGTCTCTTCACTTCCACATCCTCTGCTATTCCCAAAGCTGCCTGATTCCTGGAAAACAGCCTCTGTGCATATTTTACACAATCAAATATGTACCAAGCCAAAGGGTGGGGAGCCTGTGCCTGGCTGTGGGGAACAAAGGTGACCCACAATGTGGTCCTTGGCTCTGCCAGGGACCTGATGAACATATAGGGTGAAAACAGAAGTAATTCAAGGCTGCCTCCAAGAACCGGAAATACCCCGAGGAAAGGGAGGCTCCCTCTGGGGTTATCAGGGAGAGGAATTTATAAGCTGGCCAGTGAGGAATGCATGGGGCTCACCAGGAAAAGGCAGAAGTATTTTGGGAGAAAGGGAATGAGATACTCAAAAGACTCAAAGACTGAGAGCACAGGGCTTTTGTATCAGGGGCACGGGAGCCTGGGAGCGACTGGGACTGGGTCTATGGGGCAGAATGTGGTCTCCGAGGCCAATACTGCGGAGCTGATGGAGAAGCAGAACATGGGGCCTTACTTGCTTCGCTCAGGAGTTAGTGGCTGACCCTATAGGAACTCTAGGCAAAGCAGTGAACAGAGCCATGAAAGGCTGTTCTTCCAGTAGGCTAGAGATGGACTAGGTGTGACAATAGTGGAGAGGACAGATGGAAGGGGACCAAGGTGGTGGGGGGTTTACAGGAAGGCCAGTAAGATGATCACAGTAGTGCAGATGAGAATGATGGTGCCATAGCTTAATCATGGCACTCGGTGCCACATGATCTGCTGTACCCCCGACATCTCCAGTTCTTATAA